GTCATTTTGACTACTTACCTAACCTGGGTGATGTTATTGTGTTAACATTAATTTTCTCATTGCAGGGGTGAAGATGACAGGGTCTGTAGGCTGCAGGTTTTTCTGAAGAAAAGCATTCATTGCCATGCCTTCCTGTGATTTTGTGCATGCACTGGATGACTCGGGACTGCATCCCTTTGCCACAGGTAACGGAGCACTGGAACACACAGAAGACACACATTAATTCTAACGGTATTTTTGCCTGTAAACATGAAGATAAAATGCCAGTCCAGGTGAAATCAGTGGCTGCTCCTTTAGTTGTCAGCAAGATTTCTGCCTTCCATTCCATCAGTTAAATGAAAATAAATTCAAAAAAGAACAAATAAATTGGCAATATTTATTGAAGGACTGATTCCAGCATCCATTGCCGTCAAGTTCCACTTTGTAGAGCCTGTGATTAAACTGTAATGCTACAGTGTGCCTGAAGAAAGCACGGGCTGTTCTCCCATATCTGTATCTTAATTTACTCTTATTAGATGTGAAAGTCATGGAACAAAAGAAAATGCTCTCAGACACTGACAGAGGGAAGCAACTTAAATTAAGCCATTACTCCTGCCAGCGCAAAAGTGCTCTTGCCACTGAGCAGAGTGTATGCCTCCTGTCTTTGTGTCACATCTTCATGTTTTTACATGTGTCCCGCAAATGAAACACACAACGTGAGACATGCTGCCTGGTCTTTAATCAACATTCCCATCTTGTTGCCATAAGGAATGAGGTGAGAAAATAAAAACAGCTGAGCACTGTAATGATGGTAAAGCTCTACTTCTATCACAGTAGCATAATATATTAGAATGAAAACTTTTGCAGTGCTACACATATGCATACAAAACTTATTCCAAGCCAACAAATTACATGCTTTCCCCTTTGCTGACTTTTTGTGAACAAAATTTCACAGGGCATGAATTATTTTTGTGTCAATTGACATATGTATTATTGCTTTAACTACAAATTCTTTCAAAAAACCATATATTGTAATTTGCTCCTACCTGCTAATTATTTTGACTCAAGTACCCACAGATTTCATTCAGTTCTGGAGAAATTTACTATAGAGGACATCTTGAAATATTAATCAATTTCTTGAAATGAATGATATCAGCACTGGCTGAAAATGTATGCCACTACCATCCACATAATTGTGAAAATATTTTTATTGTAAAAAATTTTAATTACATAAATATTAAGAACACATTTCCTTAGGAGGCTTCAAGAAGCAGCTGAAAAAATATTGAAATGAGAAAGTCAAGGAGAGGGTGCTATAACAAAAGAAGTTTCCCAACCACCCTGTCTCAAGATGGAGATTGAAAAGTATAGTTTTCTGAAAAGAAATAATAGATTTCGAGTATACAAAACACTCAAGAGTTTTTACCCTTTAGCTTTGTGATCTGTGTGCTTTTGAGTGACATCTTAAACACTGCTACTTGGAGGAAAGATTTATACATGTCAAATAGGAAATAGAGGACTTGCATACGAGTAAGTACATTGAAGTGACATTCAGGTCTTTTGGACTCATGAAACTCCAAGAGGCATGACAAGAGGTACAAGAGGCTAGAATATACACTTGACTGCTCTCCACAAAGGCACCTGCATACACGAATTGTTATGCATTATCAAATAGTAGATAAACTGTTGGAAAATGGTTTCATACCTACTCTATATCAAAAAAACTCTGGTCTGAAAAGTTCCTGTGACTGCAACTGAGACAATATGCAACCAGCAGACAGATCTCTCCCTTGGCTAATCAGTGTTTAGGCCCTGAGTTTCTACGCAGAATTTGGTGATATTTAGGTATTAAAATCTTAATTTTTGAATTAACACCCATTTAATGACTGAGCCACTACTGGCCTGTATGAGATAATTCAAAGAACGTTATAAAGCATTACAATATAGTTTTCTATCCAAAGATGTATACAACTTGCAAGCAATTACTTTTAGTCTTGCATGACCTACTTATTCACATCCAAACTTTAGAGGAAAAAACTGACATTAAAGGATGATAAATAAAATTTATGTTCATACAAGAAACAAGTGGTAAAGCAAGAAATAAAATAGGAAATCTGCCTTCTGTGCTATCTTCTTTTCTTTTCACAGAAATATACTAATTTTTAAATTTTGTATTTATTCTTATTTTATAAAACTGAGAAGTTATATGAAGTCTTGGAAGACATCTAGGGAAAATTGCAAAGTAGCAGGGATACCACATTGATTTGCAATCCAAAACTTTCAAAGCCATCTTGATCAGTTTACAAGTAAAGAGAAGTTTTTACAGACCATTAGTGTTTTAAAATCAACCGGGGACCTGATAGTCAAGCTGTGCTCCTCCCTGTTCACACATCATCATCATCAGTGGAATCTGACTTCAGAAGTAAAAGTTCTATTGAGTGGAAGCCAAAAAAAAAAAAATCTTTTTACCATATCTATGTTATCTCACATTCAAAGTAGTATGAAACAGTATGAAACAGGGAAAACACACTTCAGGTATGGCGTTTAGCAGTTCATTTGCTAGCTACACAGACAAACACTGATTTTTCTGTTTGTCTCCATGAAATGGTCTTAAACCTGAAGTTGTGATGCATACACACCAGACAACTGCTGGGTTAATTGAGAGCAGACACTGAATACCGGAGGATAAAAGGCATCCATAATATTTTTCTTTTTCACTCTGCAAAGGTATAGGCTTAGTCCAATTTCACTAGCAGACACCTCAACTTCTGCAAACCAGCTAGATGCAACTCAGAGCAACAGCTCTGTCCCTCATTTTATGGCATATGCATATGTACATTCTAGCTGAAGCAGGCTCTTTCAAAATTGTCTTCTAAGCTTGCCTGATGTTTGAATTTCTCTCACAGAAAATATTCAAACTGAGGCAAATACCTCTTGCTAGATGTGCAGCTGTCACACTTTAGGTAGCACATGTGGCATGTAGCTAAAGCTGCATAGCTTCTGTGTATTTCTCGAGTTTCCATATTTTTGTAACAAAGCTTTCAAATTAGAGGAAACAAAAAATACTTTCACTTTTACATATTAAGCAGTGAATTTAATAAAAAATCTATCTATCTATCTATCTATCTATCTATCTATCTATCTATCTATCTATCTATCTATCTATCTATCTATCTATCTACTATCTATCTATCTATCTATCTATCTATCTATCTATCTATCTATCTATCTATCTATCTATCTATCTATCAAACTTCTTGTATTTTCCACTGTTTTATATATAAATGTATAAATTAATATACAGCTTATTTATATAACATTTACAGAAAATGCCCACTCCAAACCAATCTGTAGCAACTTGCTTCAGTTCAGCAGATCTCAGATTAATTTCAGCCCACAGCTTTTATTACTAGTGAATGAAGAATACATTTCTATAGCTCTTCTTCCCACCCTGTCCACTTCCCAAATATCGCTCCTGCACATGCTACACTTTATTTTTGTAGTATTTGCTTAAATTTTACTTCTGACTGTTCAGATGGCCTACACTTTAAGGCCATGTAGCTGATTAGCAAAAATTCCCATAGGACAACTGTGTTTGTAGGTTTAGACTAAATGTTCTAATATGCAGCTAGAGGGTTTTTTATGTGACTTTTGATCTGTGCGTTTTGGATACAGTCCTAAAGGTACTGTATAATTGTTCAAGCAGCAAAACATGTAAAACATTCCTGTCAAAGATTACAAAAAATTGCTGGATAAATATAGTTAACTGCTATTTTTAAAAAATATATTTTCTATCTTTCAAATAAAATCTACCCACTGTGTTTGAATTTTGAACTTATTTTAACTACTTTTGAACTTATTTTATGCCTAAATCCAAGGACAGAAAACTAGGCATTAAATATAACAATCCTTACACTTGGCATGTACACCCATTACCCAAGATTCTTTCTTTCTGTTCCTTGCCAAAGATATATATTCTGGAGAGAATACATATTCCCAAGGCCAACAGCTGAGGAAGGTGCTGTAATGCTGTAGCTGCTTCCAGCTGGCCTTCCTAAGAAGTAGGAATTCCTAAATTAAGGAAAAAATTGTCACTGGCAGACAGTAATGGTCAAACTGCATCTTTCTGCCAAGACAACAGGCTATCACTGCAAAGGCTGATAAAATCCACAATGAAAAACCCAATCTGTGACAATATTAACAGAACTGACTTGGACAATTTATTTTCCAGAATAAATGAATTGTTCAATAAAAGTTTTTTACAAGTCTAAGTAGCATTCAAAGTGGAGAGCAATGTGCTTATAAGGAAACTCAGTGATGAGTTCTACTGGAAATTATTAGCAGAGCATTCCTAATCATTTATGTATAGGTTCATCAGTTCCAGCACTTAAGTAGTTTCAACCTTTCCATAATGTGAGTGTGAAACAAGGATAGCAAGCTCGCAACAGGATTCATATTTGCTGACATGCTTGCAATCTTTTTGTGTATCTTGTATTCTTATGAAGTTTGCTATTGAAGGCAGGTAGTGGATAAAGCAGTGAATTTGTTTTTCAACAAAGAATTTATACTGAATTTAGCAATAATCCTAAGGATTACTTAATAAAGCAAATAATCCACAGTTTATTTAGGAACTTTTTTTTTCAATAAAACATTTATGAATAGTGTATCTATTATAAAAGGAGGGACTAAGGGATCTGAACATAAGACGAAGTCTTAGGTCTCTGCATGCATGACTTCCAGGAAGGTCTTTCTGCCTCTCTCATTTGTGACACACCCAACACCTCAGTATGCAAATGCCAAATTTAAAATTCAAAAATTGTTCTAAGTTTATCTGAAAAAATTCTGGTGTTGGTCTCTCCTAAGTTCAGCAAGTTGGAGTTGTGCGTATTTATTTTTATTTTTCCTTTTATTTTTTCCTTCTTTCACCCCTCATTTTTATTTCTAGCTCTTCTTTCTGGAGCAATAATTAGTATTGGATAACTGTTTGAAAAAGATAAGATTTTAAAAGTAAGATAGATTTTTAAAATCCTTGTTAGCTTCCTTTGCAGAGCAACCAGTTGTTTGGTGGATGACATGAAACTACCATTCATAACGAGCCAAGGAGCAACTGAAAACTAACAAGTAAAATTTCGTTGAGTAAAACCACAGAATTTGTTATAATATGCTTATTAATGAATCAACAAAAAACAAATAATTTTTTCTAGCACAGGATATAAA